GCCTGTGTTTGTGTCTCTGTCTGTATTACCTATTTGGTCTTACGTATTTGTACTTGTAGGACTAAGCTTCAGCTCTTGGTCTCTGCCTTCCCAGCTGAGGGTCACTAAAAAAGCTATGATTCCCTACGAAATGTGTCCTATCATCTCCATTTTTTTGTTATATATCGTGAATGGAGTTGGCTTCTGCTACCTTCTCATCTAATTAATTTATTTTCCTACTAATTCTTCAATAAATTAGTTGTTCTTCACATCTCAGTGATTCAATTGTTAAATCTCAATAGCTCTATTATTCTCTTTGTACGCATTGTGATTTTTTTTTCGTTTTCAATTCCCGAAGAATTCAATTTATCTATATAATGTCGCCAGTTTCTATTGGATTTTATTGCGTAGTCAAGTCAATATTTTTCAACCATTCATCATTTCTTATTCGACATTAAATTCTGAAAATAGCCTCGTTACAAATCCTTTGTGAATTTTGTTAATTATTGCAATGATAATTGCTATTTCTCTATCAAATTGTTTTGTATATTTATAGGACAGTTTGTGTATCTGCCTGCTTGTCTGTGTATGTGTATGGCTATCGATCTTCTAATTAATATGTCTATCCCTTTCTAATGACTTCCTCCTTCTTGCAGACCAGATATTCATGCATTCAATTAATTTTCATTATTTTTTCTGCCCTCATTTTCATTCGCCATCTCATAATAATTCCCCCAAAAATTCTCATTGACATTTTCAACAGATTTCCCAGTCATATTTATTCTTTTGGCTTCATAAACAAAAAAAAACTCTAATAGCCATATGCAATGCTGTTTAGCATCTGCAATGGCATCATTAGCAACCCTATCATAAAAAAATGATGAAAATCATTTTTTTAACCATCATTGTCATCGTCATTGTCATAGTCTCGTTATGGCCTCAATATCCCTGGCTGCCAACAACTGTACAAAACAGGTACAGGCTTAGATACGGGCCACAAATACATAGAAGCCCGAAAAATTAATTAATCAAGGTTATCCATAATGCAGGCAGACTTAAATTTAAAGTTATAAAATCAATAATGACAGTAACAAAACTAATAATAAAAATAATAATAATAATAATAAATAATAATTATAACAACGACAACCAGTTAATGTTAATCTAATAATTAGAAAATATAATATAACTGGCAAGAATGTACTCTTGAATGTATTTCCTGTCATTTCTCTCAAGTTAAAGCTCCTCTCACACTGGTTTTTAATTATGTGTTTTTATGCATTTTTAGAGCCGGTGACGGAGGCGGAGGAGGAGGTGGGTGGGCGGCGAGGGTCGTGGGCGGCGGTGGGCGGGAGTGGGCGGCTCTCGTGTGTTGTGAGAGCCGCCCCTCCGCCCATCTTCCGCTGGGCTACTCAAAACGGCGCCCACATAGAGACGGATGAGAGCTACGTTGTCCATCATCCACAGGTGGGTGAATGGGGGGGGGGAATGAGATAGTAAGGAAGAATGGGAAATGGGAAAGTGGGTTTATGAAACGATGTGATCACATTATGCAACATTCTCAATCTTACTCATAATCTTTCCTTAACACCCTCACACCCCTCACCCGCCCCCCCTAACGCCCCCTCACCTTCCTTCTCACCCGCCTCCTCACCCGCCCCCTCACCCGCAGCAGCTACGGGATGGACTCACACTGTGGTCGTCAATAGTGGAGATCCGCCAGGTAACTCAGCTGGACTATGGAGTCTACCACTGTACCGCCCACAACCACCTGGGCTCCACCACCCTCGCCCGCACGCTCAGTCCGCCCACACGCCCACACCCGCCTCTCAGTCTCACCGTAAGTGGTAGGACGAGTCTCGTATTGTTCAAGCTCGGAATCTAATCTCTGATGATCCGTGAGAATTAAAGGTTATTTCTCACTCTAATCTGCATTGGATATATAATATATTATGTTATATTTATATATGTGACTGCCTATTACAGGTGTACAACGTAACTACTAGTTCAGTCTACCTGGCCTGGGTGCCCAACTACGAGGGCGGGATGCCCCGCGGGTATGCTGTGAGATATCGTGCTGCTGGGTCACTAGAATACCAGGTTAGTGCTGGTATGCTGCAGGTGTGGTAGTGTTGGTGTGTTGCCGGTGTGTATGTGTGTGTGTGTGTGTGACAATTGTCGATATGTGGTAGATGTGGTATTGATGGTGTGGTGCAGATGTGGTAGTGTCCGTATGCTGCAGGTATAGCACTGATAGCTTAGCATGCTGCAGATGTAACAGGTTACAATTGTGTCCAGCAGGTGTGGAAAGGGTTCCTATGTTACAGGTATGCCAGGTCAGCTCTCCCTCTTGCCACAACGGACAAAAATACGGGGTACTAGTTGATAATGAACCCACACACATCTGATAGTGAAGAAACGACGGCATTTTCGGCCTTACTGGACGACTGGCAAGTCGTGTAATAATGGTCTTGGATGGACCGTTAGAATGTGTGGTATGATGTGTTAAGTATACTGTTGGGGTTGGGTATGCTACGAGGGTTGGGTATAGCTGAAGAGGTTGGGAATGCATCAGGGCTGGATATGCCGCAGGGCTGGGTATGCCGCAGGATAAGGGTATGCTCAAGGGGTTGTATATGCTGGATGGTAGATTACGCTGCAGGGTTGATTGGGCATGCTGCATGGCTCAGTATACTGAGAAGTTGGGTATGCTTCAGATCGAGTTGGGTATGCCGCTGGGATGGCTATGCTGTATGACAAGTGGGCATGCTGGCTAGAGCATATCATTCAACAATCGTCGCCACACGTGTTTAAACACCTGAGTTAAATTATCCACGAGTCGACATTGGCCACATTAACATGTGTTGACTGACTGAACGTTGCAGGAATTAGCCTTTACTAGAATTGTTGAAATAATAATGTAACCACTTACGAAGCCTGTACATCTTTCAACAATCAAGGCGGATTATTTTAAACAGCTGGTGAGCACTGAAGCACTATACGCGGTTGTTTACAACAAAAAATAACCTCGAATTGCTAAAGTTTCGAACTTGTAAACTATTTAATATACATGCACACAGAGTCGCTATGAGTGTTGGAAGATATACAGGTTTCGCAAGGAGGGGTGTGTGACTGGACAAGATGACTTTCCTGTGGTCTCCTGCAGGTGGTGGAAGTATCGGGAGGAGAGGCACGAGGCGCCACGGTGAATCACCTGTCTCCGGACACCGAGTACCTGTTCACGGTACAGGCCAGGAACCTGCAGGGACCTTCCTCCTACGTCACCCCGCATGTCACGGCCACCACACATGGTACGTTCCTAGCAACAGTGAAGGGCCCCCTTCGTCAGGCTCACGTTCAAGTACGTTTTTTTTTTGGAGGGGGGACAAAATACATCTCAAGAGGACGGAGTAGCTTAGGCTATTTCGGCCCTTGGTACCTTCGTCAGGTAACTCTCCTGCAGCAGGAAAGAGGGGGCCCCCTTACCTGGCCCCTTCGTCAGGTAAATTTCCTGAGCCAGGAGTCTTCGTCAGTTCGTCAGGGGAACGACTGTCACCAGGAGCCCCGAGTCGGTACTTGAAACTAAAGTGGGAAATATTGTCATATCTATTTGGCCTTCATGAAATCCCTTCCCTGTTACCTTGGATAAGTCACTTAATGCTTTAATCAAGCCACTGCCTAAGGTAAGCTCTTTAATCCCTCGCCACGACTCACGGTAAGGCCATTAATCTTTAACCACTTCTCCCGGAAATTCCATTAATCCCTCGCTAGTATCCATGGGCCCAAGTTCTTCAATCTCTCATCACAACTGTAGGACAGTTTTTTTTTTAATCCATCACTACTGCCAACCGCGCCACTCTCCCTCAAACACCCAAAATCTAGCACATCGCTGCTCTCATACGACACCTCTGCTCTCATACGACACCTTTGCTCTCATACGACACCTCTGCTCTCACACAACACCTCTGCTCTCACACGACACCTCTGCTCTCACCCTCACCTCTGCTCTCACCCTCACTTCTGCGGCCCTCTTATAGACCCCCATAGTCGAAAGAAAACAATAACCCTCACTCTCTTAATTCGTAGATTTGCTTTGAATTCCGTGAAGTCATCAGTATGGGAGGTAGTGGCACACACACACACACACTCCCCCACACACCCCGTCAGTCTTCCCCTCCCCCCTTTCCCCCCACAGGTGTGCCAGGGCAGCCGAGTGCGTGGCCAGGGGTGTCGGCGGGGGGCTCGAGGAGCGTGGTGGAGGAGGGTTCCAACCGGATGCCTCGACTGATGCTGCTGATCATCACGCTCACTGGGGCAGCGCTGTTCGCTCTCCACGTGGCTGTCATCGGCTGCTTCATCAGGAGGAGAGCTGCCAACCGCAACGCCTCTGGTGAGCTGGATGATGATGAGTGAGTAGGTGGCTGCATGGGTGGGTAGATGGATGAGTTTGGTTGATGTGAATGGGTGGTTAGCAGGATGATGATTTTGGACTATAATAAGGGTCCTGCTTTCATATTCATCGTTTACGTAAGTATTTTTAGCGTTGGTATACACCGTGGATTGTATAATAGCGGGTTGGGCTTCAGTTCCTGGGCTCTGTCTATGTGTACCCCCCGCCCCCTCCCCACCACTATCCACCTAACACCTTTGCTCTCATATGATGCAGGTGGTTATATCTTATATCTTGAGATGATTTCGGGGTTTAGTGTCCCCGCGGCCCGGTCCTCGACCAGGCCTCCACCCCCAGGAAGCAGCCCGTGACAGCTGACTAACTTCCAGGTACCTATTTACTTCTCTCTCTATATATCTTCTCTCTTACCTATGGAGACTGGATGACTGAATGGAGTACTAGTGAAGTAATTGAGTGCATCTACTGCCTGAGCCATGGTAGCTTGAATGACTTGTTAACATTTAAGTAACTCACAGAGATAAAATAATTCGACTGAGTCAATAATAGTTTCGATGAACAGTTAGCGAGCTAGAAGCACAGGATGTAGACAGGCAAGCAATGAATAGGATGCATAAATCAAGTTAGCAATGGGATGACCATGACTATAGGGGAATTGGATGTACAAGGATAATCTGGAATAGGATGTACAAAAATAGCTAGAAATAGGTTGTTGAGGAATGCCTAGACTAAGATGCACTAAAATACTCAGAAATGGGTTGGAAGGGTAATGGTAGGAATATAATTAATAAGATAACCCCGGAACAGGTTATATAAAATAGACCATTAAATGTAAGGACACGTGCCCGATAATTTTTCCCGCCCGGGAATTGAACTCGGGACCCCGTAGTGTGAGACGAGAACGAAACCCACTGAACTACGAGACCCCACGCTACCTGCTCTTAACAAAATATACGAATATTTGTGATATGGTGTTAAGATTCCAATAGACTCCCCTGTGATGGTAGATATATAAAATATATTAGGTAGTTTTGCTAGTATATGTATCTAGAATACATTAAAATTTCACACATGCTAGAATTTTATTTAAACTCCACATCAGTGTCAGATTTGAAAGGAGGTTATTGCAGTAAATATATATATATATATATATATATATATATATATATATATATATAATATATATATATATATATATATATATATATATATATATATATATATATATATATATATATATTTACTTTATTTGAACTCAACGCTGAAGTCAATGTAGGTGTTAGCCAGGGTTGATACACATGTGTAGTCCCACACCAACTGCTTACCATTCTTCCAGGGGTTTGCTGTGATACCATCCGGGCGACCAATAAGAGCAGCAGAGTTACGGGGCGTTAGGTAACGGGGCTCTCTCTCAGCTGGGCATCCAGCTGTGGTGAGGCTCCTCTTGATGTTAAGTTCACTGTGCCTCGAGTGCCATCCCACTGTGGTTTGGCAGAGTAGGCTACGGTGGTCGTGCCTGTCAGCCACCACCTCGCCGTAAATACACCTATAGTTGGTGTGGATTGTGGCAGAAATTCGAAGGGCCTCCATGGATTGGGGCAGCAAGGCGGAGGGCCACAGCAATTCGGAGAATGGCGTGTGGTGTGAGACGCGTGCCAGTTGCCGACATATATGTATATATATATATTATATATATATATTACAAATATATAAGAATATATATGAACACCCAAATCACGGAACTATTTATATAGTAAGGACAAGACAAGAACATATCGATGCCAACACAGAAGACAATGTCCAACATAACAGGCCAATTACACTATATATATATGGGCCAATATATATATATGTATATGTATATATTACATATAATGCGGGTATATAAATCAACTAGTATTGTAAGATCTGTTCACTTGAGAATGAACCATGGAGGTTCGAAACGTCGTGCAATTATACAAATAAGTGTAATACACTCTATAGTAAAATCACTTCTTTTCTTCACCTTAAAAGTACGAAAATGAGTTTTGGAGAACTCCTATTTCAATTAAGCCCTGATGCTAAGAAAATAGTTAGAGGGATAGAAGCCCTAAACCAGAAAATAATAAATACAGAATATGCGGTCATATCAATGAAACATATACATATATATATATAATATTATATATATATATATATATATATATATATATATATATTATATATATTAAGCCACAGGGAACTAGACATTTTGTACCTTAAAAGTTATGCCACTAGTGTACTATTTATGCCCTTAAGATGTTTATATAAGCCACTGAGAGCGCCATATTTATTAAGATTGCAGGTTAATATGGTAGATGTCATTTAAGATGGCAGGATATACACAATTAAGATAACCAATGCATTAGAGCACACACTCAGGAGACAGAGGAACCCCCAGTACCATGAACGACTGACACCATCATTCTTAACCCCTCCAACCCTGTCCAACTCTGCAGCCTCGTCGTCAACGAAGAACGTGGCGTTGGACGTGTATGGAGTGACTCCAGCCTCCACCCCGGGCTTGGTGCATGGAGGGACTCTCCTCTCTCTCACCTCCATGTGCCCTCCTCACCTCCCCTCCACTACCCCTCCGCCGTATCAGGTAACTTCTAGCTTCCCTTCTCGCTATCGTGGGGCTATCTTCATGTTTAGGTAGTACTAATAGTAACGATATGCACCATCGTTCATATGTTGACCGTATTGGACAATTAGAAACTCGAATTTGGTAGTATTCAATTTGGACAAACAGGAAATGGTTTTGTCTTCATGTTGCTAATAAAACAAACCTAATCTAACCTAACCATCCTGAGCCTAATATATATGGATAGTATCTTTACTATCTAGATACTCTTTAGATAGTATCTATTGTGATGATCGTCAATAGTCACGAATTCGTACTTACTTAGTTTTTAGATAGTAGTATACTGACTAGTAAGGAATTCTTTAAAAATAAATGAAGTTAAAAAATAAACTTATATATTCCTAGGCCTAGTATAGCACATATGTATACTATATTAGGCCTCAGATATCATGTTTAAGCCTACAACGGTTACGTTAGGTTAGTTTAGTGTGTCAAAGCAACACAAGTAATAAACAGTTTTCCGGTTTGTCCAACTCAATAGTTCAGATTTCTACTTTTTAATTTCACTGTACCTCGGTATATATAGTATGGTCCTCACCGTTACTAAAATTACTATTAAAACAGGAGAATGAGCTGAAATACAGACATATATAAGTTAATTTTTTAGCTTTATTTTTTCCGGACTCTATAAAATGTTTAGACATTTTATAGGGTCCGGAGGAATAGTTAAATGGAGTCTAAAGACATTATGTAAACAGGAGGCTGGATCGTGCTACCACCAGGGAATCCTGTGTGACTTTCTTCTTCCTAGTCACCAACAAAAAAAAATATGCATGTAATACATGTGGGGAAGTTCCCTAGAACTCTCTCTCTCTCTCTCTATCTCTCTCTCTCTCTCTCTCTCTCTCAGATGCATTTTTGTACTGTTAAGATAAAGCAAACCAGAGGAAAGAAATGTTAAGGAGAGATGTGCAGCACAAAAGTTGGTTGATCCCATGATCGATTGTTTGGTCATGTTGAAAGAATGGAAGATAATGTTGATGAAAGTGTATTGATGTATGGATGAGGGTGTGAGCAGAGAGTGACCAGGGAGATGGGGAGTAAATAACCTGACACTGAAGTCAAAAGCGTGCGAGGCATGATTGAAAGTGTAATTCAACAAACGCACACAACTCAATTACGTCCATTTTACGAATTTTGTGTTGCAATGTTTCAAGACCGCAATACGATAGTTACGATAAGGTTATCGATAACTCGATGGAACGAGTTTCTTAGGAGGGTGTCGGTGCTTTTAAATGACAACTGACATGACCACGTGAGAATTTCCTTCTCACGTGGTGGGATGCTGCCATGGATGCTCCATGGGTGGTGGCGTGGATGGTGTGTGTGTGTGTGTGTGTGTGTGTGTGTGTGTGTGTGTGTGTGTGTGTGTGTGTGTGTGTGTGTGTGTGTGTGTGTGTGTGTGTGTGAAGGTTGGCGGTGCTGAGGCGAGGCGGTGAGGCACTGGGATGGCAGGAAGAGTTATGGGGGGAGAGTTAGGTGTCACTGTACACATTCAGTAGTCTTCCCTCAGAGGTATTGCTCGCCTATTTCCTCTTACCTGATGCCTCTATACACCATGAAAGTGGGAGACTGAGGAAATGATGATCAAAATATCGTTGCTATTTTAATGTTAGTTTATGTTTTCGTGTAGGATTTTTATGGGAATGACAGGAGTGAGGATTTCTAGGTTATCATTTTAGTTAGGAATATGGCTATATTTGTCTCTTTGTCTACCCGCTAAAGGAGGATCATCAGACCAACGTGGACGACTGCGACCCAACTAACCTGGTAGTCTCGAACGCCGCCCCGCACTCCACCACTACACCAGCCCCCACGCGCCCACCAGCACACAGTGCTCCTCGCCAGAACGGCATGGTAATGGTGAGCAGAGACTCGACTACACTCTTCGTCAGTAGCAGGACCATGAGTCCTCAGAACGTTGGGACATTTGCGCCCGGCCAGAATATCTCCGTTCCTGCTCCTGCTGGTGTGGAGGTGAGCTCTACACCCCCGAGGACAGCCAGTCCCCTGCTGCAGAGCGACGGTCAGGGTAACGATGAGAAGGAACCACGTCAGGAGGCGTCCAGAGAAGGTGAAGTGTCGTCCCTGTGTTCCAGCACCTACGACACGCTGCCTCGCGACACACATTTCCCGCAGAAAGAGGTCAACTCGGCCGCTAATCCAGCAGCCGACCAGACGTCCGTGTCCTCTCACCACAGCTATGAGTATTCCCAGGGCGTGGATCACCCTCTCTATCACCCTAACTGCCCGCATCATCACCACCTCCAACAGCAACACCTTCACCATCAGCCACTCACCACCCCCACTACAACCACCACCACAACCGCCGCCCCACAACATTACCACCCACCGCCCTACGACGTCCAACTCTACCAGCAAACACCACAGGGCGAGCAGACATTCCAGCCACCAGCGCCCTACAGCAGCTTAAATCCTTCAGGGCTCTACGACCTTAGTACTGGCTACCAAGAGGCCAGAGCGAGTCCCACCTCCTGCGTGACAGGTAGGGAGCTGCGTGAGCAGTATGGTTTCCCATGAACAGTTTTAAGTCTTGTCTTAAGTCTCATGCTCTCAATGAGTGAGAGAGATCAAGTGTTACGTACTTTTTGTATGTGTGAGTGTGTTTCACCTAGTTGTTCTTGCGGGGTTTGAGCTCTGGCTCTTTCAGCCCGCCACTAAACTGTCAACCAACCAACCATTACTAACTACTAACTATTTTTTTCTTTTGTTTTTCTCATAAATACACCTCCCCAGGAAGCAGCCCGTAGCAGCTGTCTAACTCCCAGGTACCTATTTACTGCTAGGTAACAGGCACATCAGGATGAAGAAAATTGCCCATTTGTTTTTCCGCCGGCTGCCGGGATCGAACCCTGGTCCTTAGGTCCTCGAGTCTAGAGCGCTGTGCACTCAGCCAGCTAGCCCCCCCCCCTGTGTGTGTATATGTGTGTGTGTGTGTGTGTGTGTGTGTGTGTATATATATGTGTGTGTGTGTGTATAATATATATATGTGGTGTGTGTGTGTGTGTGTGTGTGTGTGTGTGTGTGTGTGTGTGTGTGTGTGTGTGTGTGTGTGTGTGTGTGTGTATATATATATGTGTGTGTGTGTGTATATATATATATGTGTGTGTGTGTGTGTGTGTGTGTGTGTGTGTGTGTGTGTGTGTGTGTGTGTGTGTGTGTGTGTGTGTGTGTGTGTGTGTGTGTGTGTGTGAGTGAGAAGCACAAAAGTTTTAAGAGAAAAACATTCTTTACATAAAAACTAGTATAAACAAAACCAAAAAGTGCGTGTACACATACATACGTATACAAAAAATCTATACCTATACACATAAACAAAAAAGATATCTACACACACATATACACATATAAATAAAAATATACATACATACTCAAATTCACACATTCTTTCGTACCACTTATAAAGTAACAGGTACACAAGTTTTCTCTATATACTTTTTTGAAATACGAGACATCTTCCAAACTACTTAAACTTCCTTTTCAAGTAAAGTGGCTGCGATAGAGTTTGAGAATACACTCCAAGGCTGGATGGACTGGGAGTGGATGGCTGTATGAACCATGAAGGGATAGTTAGGATTGAAACTGGCTGAGTGTCGCTCAGAATTTAGGTTGAGAACGTTATCTTGAAGTCGAAGAAATACCGATGATAACAGTGTTTCGTTTAGGAGTATTGTGTTTTCATCTCTTCGTGTGCTATTCTGTAAAACTTTTAATTTACCTGTCTCATTCCCTCTTTTGTCTGGCAATTCCTTTCTCTTTGATTTTCTGTTTGAAATCAGTATATTTCTTTATCTGCTTGATTATGCATGAACTCATTTCTTGCATGCAACCATTTATTTATCTTTATTGATGTGTGTTTATGTGTGTGTGGAAATCTTCTCAAACTTAACTTTATTAGTATGCATAAAAATCATTAAATATACTTCAAAGAACAAAAAAGCTCTCATGTAGTGGTATGTGTCTGTGTGTATGTTGAGAGCAGTGTCTGTGGGTATGTTGAGAGCAGTGTCTGTGTGTATGTTGAGAGCAGTGTCTGTGGTGAATGTTGAGAGCAGTGTTCTGTGTGAATGTTGAGAGCAGTGTCTGTGTATGTTGAGAGCCAGTGTCTGTGTGACTGTTGAGAGCAGTGTCTGTGTGTATGTTGAGAGCAATCATTAAATATACTTCAAAGAACAAAAAAGCTCTCATGTAGTGGTATGTGTCTGTGTGTATGTTGAGAGCAGTGTCTGTGTGTATGTTGAGAGCAGTGTCTGTGTGGTGTTCAGATATGCACGATCAACAACAAGAAGCTGGGTGGAGGTCATTTTCAGGTAAGTTTTCCGTAGATCTTGAAAGTGACAGAGGCAGTGCGAAGTTTGTGGTACAGAGACGAGATGCATACAAAGATGGGAAATGGGGAAGGGGAAGGAGAGAGAGAGAGAGAGAGAGGAAGTGATGCAGAAGAAAATAGCATCAGAGTGTAAGAGAACATTAAAATAAATTGAGACAGACAATAAATTGAAATAAAGAACTGTAAAGGACAGACAGATGAAGAAAATAGTAGACAGATCCGTCCCTACAATGCGTTACACTCAAGTTTCAAAGGAAAATGAACATAATGGGAACTATCTTGGGGTGATGGGCTACTGCTCTATTTGTTTGTAATTCATTTAACTGTACAAATATATCTGTATATTCGGCCCAAAACAGCATAACATCACTTCAATACGGCCGGTAAAAAATTAGTGGCTAAATTTAGTAAGGTTATTTAAACTGAACAACACGTACATTGAGCATTCAACGTTGAGTATTTATACTAATAAATTAGTACTATGTACTAATAAATTAGTACTATGTACTAATAAATTAGTTCTATGTACTTATAAATTAGTTTTGCTCCTTAATGATATTAACCTAATTAAACCTCACCTCAACTATCCTTATCTAAACTCTTTTAATCTAACTTCAAATTCAAATTCATGAACTTTATTCATAAATAGTTGAAAAATTTATTTAATTTACAGAAAAAGAGTCATAAAAGTAGCATATTATATAATCATTATAATTATAGACTGAAAACTCTAGATTTAGATTTAGATTTAGAGGCTCTATTTGTCAGTGATTTATAAAATTCATTACAGATCTGGCTGGAGTGAGCAGGACTTATGGCTTACTATTAGAGCAGTGAAGCTTACATTAGCAAAACATTTAGCATAAAATGAGAATGATGGGAAAGCACGTTACTGGAGGTACAAGCCTAAGTTATAGATCATGGAATTTTAAAGTCCATATTTTTTAAATAGGCATCCTTCAGTCTCGGGAGACTATGGAGTTGCGCCCTAGTTGTCAATCCTGGTGCAGCGTCTGGTGTGACTGATGAGGCCAATCCGAGAGTGGCAGTCCATCCCACACCGAGCACAAACGAAGTCCGATTCTGGTCTGTCTTCCTGGTTACCGGCTTTCCTTCTCTGTCTCTTTGCCTCCGATTCCTTGGCAAGTGACTCCTCGAACTTGGAGAGACCTCGTTGAACAGACTGCTTCCAGGCTGAACGGTCTGCAGCCAGTGTCTCCCATATAGCAAGATCGACATCCATGGCTTTCAGGTCCCTTTTGCATACGTCTTTGTACCGTAGCTGGGGCTTGCCTACTGGACGCTTTCCCTGCCTCAGCTCTCCATACAGGAGATCCTTGGGGATCCTGCCGTCGCCCATTCGCACAACGTGCCCGAGCCAGCGCATTCGTCTCTGTTTCAGCATTGTGTACATGCTGGTGATTCTTGCTCTCCCCAAGACGTTGTTGTTTGTCACCTTGTCCTGCCAGGTGATGTCCAAGATGTGTCTAAGGCAGCGCATGTGGTAGGCATTCAGCCGTCTTTCCTGACGGGCGCGGAGTGTCCAAGACTCACTGCCATAAAGGAGAGTGCTCAGGACACAGGATCTGTAAACCTGAATCTTAGTATACTCAGTTAGCCTATTGTTGGCCCACACTCTCTTTGTCAGTTTGGACATGGTAGTAGATGCCTTACCGATGCGTTTGTTTAGCTCCGTATCAAGAGAGAGGGAGTCAGAGATTGTGGAGCCCAGGTACACGAAGTCGTGAACAACTTCCAGTTTGGAATCAGAGATGCCGATGTCAGGTGGGGAGTCCACTCCTTGTCCCATGACTTGTGTTTTCTTGACTGATGGTGAGTCCGAAAGCCTGAGAGGCCTCGCTGAAGTGGGTTATGAGCCGTTGGAGGTCTTCAGCTGAGTGGGCAGTGACTGCTGCGTCGTCGGCAAAGAGGAAGTCGCGCAGACACCTCAGCCGAACCTTTGTCTTGGCTCTCAGCCTGGCGAGGTTAAAGAGCTTTCCATCCGACCTGGTCCGGAGGTAAATGCCTTCCGTGACAGATCCGAAGGCGTGCCGCAGCATAACTGCGAAAAAAATCCCGAATAGGGTTGGAGCCAGTACGCAGCCCTGCTTTACTCCACTTCGGATGTCAAAGGCGCCTGATGTTAGGCCATCAAAGACCACGGTGCCCCTCATGTTCTCATGGAAAGATCTGATGATGCTGAGGAGCCTGGGTGGGCATCCGATCTTGGGGAGGATCTTGAACAGGCCATCCCTGCTGACGAGGTCGAAGGCCTTCGTCAGATCTATGAAGGCTAAAAAGAGTGGCTGCTTCTGTTCCCTGCATTTCTCCTGCAGTTGTCTGAGGGAAAAGACCATGTCGATGGTGGACCTGCCAGCTCTGAATCCACATTGTGATTCTGGATAAACTCTCTCTGCAAGTACTTGGAGCCTCCTCAATGCGACTCGAGCAAACAGCTTTCCGACAATACTGAGGAGGGAGATTCCACGGTAGTTGTTGCAGTCGCCCCTGTCACCTTTATTCTTATACAGTGTGACGATGTTGGCATCCCTCATGTCCTGTGGCACCTCTCCTTCTTCCCAGCAGAGGCAGAGAATTTCGTGCAGCTCCATGAGCAGGCTACCTCTGCAGCACTTCAAGGTCTCAGCAGGAATGCCATCTTTGCCAGGAGCTTTACCAGAAGCAAGGGAGTCTAGGGCATCGCTGAGTTCTTCCAGGGTCGTTTCACTGTCGAGCTCCAGTAACACAGGCAGACACTCAATGGCGCTCAGGGCATCTTCGGTGACCACATTGTCCCTGGCGTATAGCTCAGAGTAGTGCTCGACCCAGCGCTTCAGCTGCAGTGTCTGGTCCTGAATCACCTCGCCAGTGGCAGATTTCAGAGGAGCGGTCTTCCTCTGGATTGGACCGAGGGCCTGCTTGATGCCGTCATACATTCCCCTTACATTGCCTGTATCTGCTGCAGTCTGTATCTGGGAGCAGAGCTGGAGCCAATAGTTGTTGGCACATCGCCTGGCGCTCTGCTGCACTTTGCAGCGGACGCTGCAAAGTGCAGCGTCCAAAGCGTTCTTCCCCTGTCCAAAGTCCATATATATATACATTTATGCAAATTAGGATTGACCTAAAACATACAGGGAGATATTAAGATGAAATACATTCCCAGAAGTAAGTGTCTGGGATGAAGGGACCTTGAGGAAAGGGTTAAGACAGTGCCAAAGTCTTGACCAATTGCGTCTCAGGCAGCAGAAAGATGAACTTGACTATTTTATGAACGTGTTTCATTTCATACAACTACAAGTGCAGTACGACGGAGGGAGGGAGGTGAGAGAGTAAATCTGAAGTGTGAAGAGCGAAAGTCCAAAGTGGAAAGTTGGAAATGTAGATTTTTTTTTAAGTTTCAGGTCTGTAGTGTCAATTCTGGTGGTGGCGTATGAAGCAGAGTGAGTGGCGGCTAGGTTCTCCCTATGGAGTTTCTCTCTTCTCTCTTCTAGGGAGTTTCTCCCTGGTAGCGGTGAGAGAGAGAAACATTATCAACGTAAACGGCACAAAGTTCCTAAACATGTAAATAAAACAGCGACGTAGAGTTAAGCTTTTTTTATGAGGGAAATTTAAAAGTAAATAAATAACGAAGACTATGAGAATCGGAAGTGGCAAAAAAAAAAAAGGAGGAAAGAGGAAGCGAAGAGTGAGAGTGGTAGGAACAGAAGGCAGAAAGAGATGGAAATAAATCATGGGAGATGGCATTTAGGGAAGGAAGAGAAAATTAGGAGAACCAAAGGAGAGAGAGAGAGAGAGAGAGAGAGAGAGAGAGAGAGAGAGAGAGAGAGAGAGAGAGAGAGAGAGAGAGAGAGAGAGAGAGAGAGAGAGAGAGAAGATAATCGAATGGGGAAGTTGAAGAGGGATAGGAGATAGAGGAGGAAGTTAAAGGAGAGAGTGAAAGAGACAGACGTGAGGCTGAAGCAGGAAGCAAGTGTAGTCCAGTTACTTTGAATCAAAGTGAATACAAAAAATGACCTCTGGGAGCTGCACAGCGGCGTCTTGGAACCCGCATCTTTTTAGTAAAGAAATCTAAATGACAACAAATATATTTAACAACAAACATCATTGTTAAAAGCGCAATAAGTGTGGAGTGGGTGGAGTTGCGTGTGTGTGTGTGTACTCACCAAATTGTGCTTTGCGGGGGTTGAGCTCTGGCTCTTTGGTCCCGCCTCTAAACTGTCAATTAACTGGTGTACAGATTCCTGAGCCTACTGGGCTCTATCATATATACATTTGAAACTGTGTATGGAGTCAGCCTCCACCACATCACTTCCTAGTACATTCCTTTTATTAACTACTCTGACACTGAAAAACTCTTTTTAACGTCTCTGTGGCTCATCTGGGAACTAAGTTTCCATCTGTGTCTCCTTGTTTATGTCCCACCAGTGTTGAAGCGTTTGTCTTTGTCCATCCTTTCAATTCCCCTGAGAATTTTGTAGGTGGTTATCATGTCTCCCCTTACTCTTATGTTTTCCAGGGATGTGAGGTTCAGCTCCTTTAGCCTTTCCTCGTAGCCCATTCCTCTCATTTCCGGGACGAGTCTGGTGGCATACCGCTGAATCTTCTCTAACTTTGTCTTGTGTTTAACTAGGTATGGACTCCAAGCTGGAGCTGCATACTCCAGGATTGGTCTTACATAAGTGGTACATAAGTGATCTGACATATGTGTGTGTGTGAGTGTGTGTGTGTGTGAGTGTGTGTGTGTGTGAGTGTGTGTGTGTGTGTATGTGTGTGTGTGTGTATGTGTGTGTGTGTGTGTGTGTGTGTGTGTGTGTGTGTGTGTGTGTGTGTGTGTGTGTGTGTGTGTGTGTGTGTGTGTGTGTGTGTGTGTGTGCGTGTGTGTGTGGATGCTGACGCGCTGGTGGAGCAGTGTTAGGGAGGGGAGAGCGGAAGGGGGGGGGGTCAAGGTAGGCCACAGCCAGAGGAAAAACGAGGAAAGGTGTTGAATATGTATGGAGTTTGGGGGCAAGATATTGCAGCCAGTGAAAAGGTTTTATTGAGAGAGTAGACCCCATGATGGACCAGGCGAACTTGTGAGTGATTGGTTTACGGCACAGAATCCTAGATAGGAAGAGAAGCGGTGTCCCTGGGAGTGAGGGACGTAGAAGAGAGAGTGAGCGTCACGTTGAGCAGGAAAAGACTTCCAGACAAGCTAGGAGACTGCAGTGTGGCTAGGAGACTGCAGTGTGGCTAGGACGTAAGTACTCTGTTGCTGGGTCATAAGACGCTATCTAGGTTCCTGGAGTTGTTCAGCGTTGGTAAGGTAAGTGTGGCCTATGACTATTCTGATAATAATAATGTTGGTCTAAACTCTCCCTCTCAGGAACTCCTGCTGGCTACAACACCCTGGGTCCGCGCAGGCGCAGACCCGTGCCGTCGAAGTTTTCGAGTCTGCAGCGACCGCGGAACTCCACCTCCCACGCCCACATACACGCCCACGCCCAGAGTCAGCAGCAGCAGCAGAACCGAGCGTCCCCCGGTAACCAAGCAGAGGATCACAAACCGCTACACGACAGCAATCCTGGAGACCGTCTGGGCATGGTTGCCGTCGGCCAGACTCTGAACGACAATTCACAGTATCGTGGAACCTTCCATAGCTTTGTTCCTTATGCTCGCGTGAGTCCCCGCTCGCATACCCATACCCCTCACGGGCATGATAACGGCGGGCTGTCGCATAACATCCAGTTTGTAAACCAGCACGACCCGGACGACTCTCCTGGCGCCACACACAGCCGCAGTCCTCCCTCGCGCGCCGAGCCACACTGCCCCAGACACGGTCCAGGCATCCTCTATCCTGGCGCCGGCGACCATCGCACCCCGCGTGTTATTGATGGCCACACTATGGCCTCTGGAGAACCTGGCCATTGCGTCAGGACCCAATCAAGTAGTCCATTCCAGCGCACCAGCAGCTTCCACCAACGCACCGGCAGCCCCCAACAACGAACAGGCAGCCCCCAACAACGAACAGGCAGCCCCCAACAATGTACTGGCAGCCCCCAACAACGCACTGGCAGCCCCCAACAACGGACCGGCAGCCCTCAACAACGGACCGGCAGCCCCCAACAACGGACCAGCAGCCCCCAACAACGGACCAGCAGCCCCCAACAACGGACCGACAGCCCCCAACAACGGATCGGCAGCCCCAACCAACACAGCCTCAGTAACCAGTGTCCGAAGACCGCACACCAGCACTCTGACCCTTCCAGGCGGCGCTTCAGCGAACCCCATCATGGGAGACTTACCCATGACGCCTCCGCCGACCCAATCTCCGCTAGAATTCCAACGGGACTCCCAGAGTCTTCGGAATTTACCTCGGACGCGTTTATCGCATCAGGACGTCCTCGCTTCCCTCGCGACTTCGTGCGACACATCTCTAGGACGGAGAGCCGTGACAGCTACGACGAACAGACAAACCACAACAGTGCAGACACCGGCCGCAGATAAAAATAAAAAATTATTTAGCATCATCTGCTTCCCTGTCTTGTACTTAATTTCACATTTTGTACTTCACACAGACATCCCAAGGAAAGCATAGAATTAAGAAGTAAGCAGACATATGCATTCTGTTTCACCGTTTGTGATAACTGATTTCGACTGTGCTGAGGAAGCCGAGTTACAAACATGAATTCACAGGTAATCGAACGTAGACTCAAAAATGAAATACATCAACTTACGGAAAAGAACATAAATAAAATGAAGCCGCACGGAAAACAAAAACATGCGCACGGATGTTGAGTGCGATCTCTCACAGTTGATTGACTGTTGAGAGGTGGAACCAAAGAGCCGAAACTCAACCCCTTGCAATCACAGTTATGTGAGTACGTGGATCTTTGGCGTGAGGTCTCTCAGTCACATGTGTGGTGAGACATACAGCTGTGGCGTGAGGTCGTTCAGTCACATGTTTGGAGAAACATACAGCTGTGGCGTGAGGTCGCTCAGTCACATGTTTGGAGAAACATACAGCTGTGGCGTGAGGTCGCTCAGTCACATGTTTGGAGAAACATACAGCTGTGGCGTTAGGTCGCTCAGTCACATGTTTGGAGAAACATACAGCTGTGGCGTGAGGTCGCTCAGTCACATGTTTGGAGAAACATACAGCTGTGGCGTGAGGTCGCTCAGTCACATGTGTGGAGAAACATACAGCTGTGGCGTGAGGTCGCTCAGTCACATGTTTGGAGAAACATACAGCTGTGGCGTGAGGTCGCTCAGTCACATGTGTGGAAAGACACACAGCTGTGGCGAGAGGTCTCTCAGTCACATGTGTGGAGAAACACACCTGTAGCGAGAGGTCTCTCAGTCACATGTGTGGAAAGACACACAGCTGTGGCGAGAGGTCTCTCAGTCACATGTGTGGAGAAACACACCTGTAGCGAGAGGTCTCTCAGTCACATGTGTGGAAAGACACACAGCTGTGACGTGAGGTCTCAGTCACATGTGTGGAGAGACGCACAACAATATAGCATTCCAGCAGTCATAAGCTCGAACAGAACTGCAGTTTTCATAAATATCTGCAGCTCTATGTGTTGCATAATTCCATCACGGGAAGACAAAAATAAAACATTTTATTGCGAACAAGTACGACATTCAAAGATAAGTTGACAAAACAAAGCTTTTGCAATAAATGTATAATTCACCTTAGTACTCCCTGAAACCCTCGTGAATTGCCTTGCAAAGGGACCTCAATGGCTTCCTCTTGATAGTCCGGTCCCCAAATAGTTGAAAGTTATGTCTATAGAAGGAGAGCGCTTGGCGTAACATTCTATAACGTTGATATAGAAGCATTATGTGAACATTTGTTTCGCCCTCTACATATCTGGTACGCCTCAAGCACCCTCTCAACGCTATACTTGACACATTATTCTGTTTTTATTTTAAGTCGTAAAATACGGTCGTGCTATCAGGCAAGTTCGGTACTCGGAGGATCTATGAGCAAGTCATTAATTGTCCTTGAAATTACATAGGGATTTTTAAGTGCACCTGAATGATTAAGATGACAGGAATCTTTCCTAAGATCCTGACTGGCCCAGGTGCGGTGTCATAATAGATGCCCTAGTGATTCTTAGACACTAGCCAGGCACTAATGATCCTCGAAAAGCATGGCACGAAACTACATCTCTTTTACAACCAACTATAGTGCTTCTACAACAACTACGTCTTCTCTACAAGCAACTACATTTCCTCTACAGCCAACTTTATCTCCTCGGCAACCAACTAAAACTCCTCAACAACCAACTGAAGGGTATAACTAACTACAGCTCCTCTCCAATCAACTATAGATCACTGAAAATAATATGGCAACACGTTGTATGTTTTCCATTGCTTAAACATTCTTTGTTGAATGTGGAAACCAAATTGGAAAAAGGATATATATGTGATAATTACAAAGTTTTATATGTCAATTATTACATGGTTATTATCTTTACTTTGACATATGTTTAAATCCTTTAGATGTGGTTGAGAAGGGTGTAAATATGGCTTGTATGGGAGGTGCATGTACATACATATTGGTGTGTGTGTGTGTGTGTGTGTGTGCGTGTGTATGTGTGTGTGTGTGTGTGTGTGTGTGTGTGTGTGGTGTGTGTGTGTGTGTGTGTGTGTGTGTGTTTGTGTGTGTGTACTCACCAATTTGCTTGCGGGGGTTGAGCTTTGGTTCTTTGTGTGTGTGTGTGTGTGTCTGCATGCTTGAGTGATCCTCTGTATGTTCAAGAGTACTTTAATACGTGTGTTTAAGTATTTGCGCTAATGAAACTATTTGTGTGTGTACTTGTGCGTGGTGCTCAGGTGCTTATATGCACAAATGTGTGTATGTTTTTGTATGGGGCCCTGAACGTATTTACGTGTAGCTGGTCACATATAATCTTATAACCTAACATTGTACTTTTATACACCTCTCTCCGAGTAAATAAACATGTATGTATGTATGTCCAGTATTTGCTTGAAATAAAAATACAAATATCACAGGTCTCTATTTTTCGTGGAAATCCCAACATTCCGTGGCAATTAAAACTGAAAATGTTTAGGAAAAGACGAATCGCTCAGTTATTTTCGAATTGCTCAGGTATTGACGAGTCACCCAGGTATTGACGAGCCACTCAGGTATTGACGAAATGCTCAGTTATTGACGAAACGCTCAGTTATTGAGAGCAAATATACCTTGTAAATGGCTAATAAACATTCGGTTAATGACAAATATTTTAATTTTATTATTATTAACATCTTTATTGACAAAATTTAATTACAATTTTGCCTAATCTGAGGATTTCAATTAAGTCTTATTAAAGTGAGGATAATGCTGGTATTCACTGTCACACAGGACAGAGGGTCATACACAAGACAATAGGTCTAAACTGTAGGCTGAAGCACATATATAATATCATGGTTACAGTCAATGTTTTAATGTATGAATATGTAAAATCAACTTTCTATTGTGCACTGCCACACAAGGGCAGGGATGGGTTCATAAGTGATACAGTTTAAAAAATAATAATAATAAAATTGTTCTTCATTCTTTAAAATGGACAAGCAAATTTTGGATAAATTGTTAGGATGTCGTCCAGTACACCAGATTCAATGAAATAGTTACACAGTTGGTGGTACAATAGGCCAGGAGGTCTAAAATCTTTTACGGTTTCACATTCAACAATATAGTGTTCTAGTGAATGCATTAAAGGTTTGTCACAGAGTTTACAATCTGAATATTCTGGTAGTGGCTCAGCCTCACTAACCTGCCAGATGTGTCTATAGCCAAGGCGAATTCGCGCAATGACTACATCACATTGCCTGGTCCGGTTACTGTGCTGACCATACAAATACCTATTATTACAAAAGTTGTCATAGCTTTTAATGCTGCAGCTTTCATGTCTCTGGGCATTTCTTAGTTCTTCTAAATCTGGGACTGCAGAGCACTTTTAGAGTCAGAATATCACTGCACCGTCATTGAGCTTAAGGTACTCAGTGGTTAGATAAATACCCAATAGCTCAGTCTGTGTCGTGCTTGCCCAGTTGTTCAGTCTATGTATACTAGACATAATCATTTCATTCCCTTTATATACTTCACATGCTCAACCAATTCTCTTAACAAAAATAGGTAAAATAGACACTCAAAAAAACGAACAAACTAAGAAACCACATAACCGAGCAGTTTCTTTTAAGAATAAAGTAGTAAGAAGGAAACAAATAAATAATAAGAAAAGATGAAACAAGAAAAAAAATATTAATTTAAAAAAGTCTAGAACGAAAATTAAACACGAAGAAAGAATTAAGTAAATACAAATCATAACAACTACACGAGAGAAGGTTAGGGCAGCAAGTACGGCAGGTGATCAAGAGTGAGGCTGGTCAAGACAGGTGATCTAGACAGGTGTCAGAACAGATGATCTGAACAAGTGGCCGTGACAGGTGTCCCAGACAAGCGTCAGTGTGACCAGTGGCTTCGTTACGTGTGATGAAGAAAGGTCTGGACAGGAAGACTGGACAGTTGAAATGTGTGGGTGTTAATCAGCTTGTCCGTCAGTTCTGGATAAGGTGGTCTGGATCGAGCGGGTCTGGATAGAGCTGGTCTGGACAGATGGTCTGTATGTTGGAGCTGGATAGATGATCTTGAAAAGTAGAGTGAACAGAAAGTCTGGATAAGTAGATTTTTTTTTTTTTTAACATGGTCTGTACATTAGGTTGAATGGGTAATCTACGCAGATTACTTGGAACAATGGCCTAATAGCCGCCCGTAACACGTGATGTGAACAGCAATCACAGACTGACAGTCTGAAGATCTAACATGGATAAGCGACACTGAATCACGTGCATAAAAAAAAAATCCGTTGAAGCCGCAATGAGGATTCGAACCTGTACGCGGGAGTGGGTGTTTTCAGGCACGCGCTCTATACCACTAGACCATGAACTAAATTAGGTGTCCTAATTAGACTGAGCTGACAGTCTGCACAGGTGACGTTGATAGTATACTTGCAAGATGAGCTCAGCATATAAACATATGGAGCCTCAGGAGTATGAGGAAATTGGCTTGACATGAGAATTTGTGACCTGTTCTTGTTGTTCTAAGTTCAGCTACTCGGAACAAAAGTTCCAAGTAGCACCGGCTATGGTGAGCCCGTAGTGGACTTATTTGCCGACCTATACAGGTCGGCAAAGCAAATAATATGGAAGGATAACATATTTTCCGTTCATGCTGTATAGCAAATAAATACATTATAACTTATTATTTGTAAATTATAAAGCCTTTAATAGCAATTACAACAATAAATTATATACGGACAATTATCAAACAAATGCTTTCAATTAAATCTACATCAAATAACTTCATCTGCGATTGGTTTAAAATATGCAAATACATCGACCCCATGAAAATGGAAACTTAACATGCAGTGAGTCAGGAGACGATATGTGTGTGTGTGTGTGTGTGTGTGTGTGTGTGTGTGTGTGTGTGTGTGTGTGTGTGTGTGTGTGTGTGTGTGTGTGTACTCACCTAATTGTACTCACCTAATTGTGCTTGCGGGGGTTGAGCTCTGGCTCTTTGGTCCCGCCTCTCAACCGTCAATCAACTGGTGTACAGATTCCTGAGCCTATTGGGCTCTATCATATCTACATTTGAAACTGTGTATGGAGTCAGCCTCCACCACATCACTTCCTAATGCATTCCATTTACTAACTACTCTGACACTGAAAAAGTTCTTTCTAACGTCTCTGTGGCTCATTTGGGTACTCAGCTTCCACCTGTGTCCCCTTGTTCGCGTCCCACCAGTGTTGAATAGTTCATCCTTGTTTACCCGGTCGATTCCCTGAGGATTTTGTAGGTTGTGATCATGTCCCCTCTTACTCTTCTGTCTTCCAGTGTCGTGAGGTGCATTTCCCGCAGCCTTTCCTCATAACTCATGCCTCTTAGTTCTGGGACTAGTCTAGTAGCATACCTTTGGACTTTTTCCAGCTTCATCTTGTGCTTGACAAGGTACGGGCTCCATGCTGGGGCCGCATACTCCAGGATTGGTCTTACATATGTGGTGTACAAGATTCTGAATGATTCCTTACACAGGTTCCTGAACGCCGTTCTGATGTTAGCCAGCCTCGCATATGCCGCAGACGTTATTCTCTTTATGTGGCTTCAGGAGACAGGTTTGGTGTGATATCAACTCCTAGATCTTTCTCTCTGTCTGTTTCATTAAGTACTTCATCTCCTATTCTGTATCCTGTGCCTGGCCTCCTGTTTCCACTGCCTAGTTTCATTACTTTGCATTTACTCGGGTTGAACTTCAACAGCCATTTGTTGGACCATTCACTCAGTCTATCCAGGTCATCTTGTACTATCATCTTGCCTCCTACTATCATCCTCTGTTTCAATCCTCCTCATAATTTTTGCATCGTCGGCAAACATTGAGAGGAACGAATCTATACCCTCTGGGAGATCATTTACATATACCAGAAACAGTATAGGTCCAAGGACTGACCCCTGCGGGACTCCACTTGTGACGTCTCGCCAATCTGAGACCTCACCCCTCACACAGACTCGTTGTCTCCTGTTGCTTAGGTATTCCTCTATCCACCGGAGTACCTTCCCTCTCACTCCAGCCTGCATCTCCAACTTTCGCACTAGCCTCTTGTGTGGTACTGTATCAAAGGCTTTCTGACAATCCAAAAATATGCAGTCTGCCCACCCTTCTCTTTCTTGCCTTATTTTTGTTGCCTGGTCGTAGAATTCAAGTAACCCTGTGAGGCAGGACCTGCCATCCCTGAACCCATGTTGATGCTGTGTTACAAAGTTCCTTCGCTCCAGATGCTCCACTAGTGTGTGTGTGTGTGTGTGTGCTTGGGTTTGTGCTTGCACTTTTCCCCATGTGCATAACCTATTCCCATGTGAACATCAGGTCATATATGAACACCTGATTCCACATGTGCAGCAGTGTGCTGATGGTAAGCCGCTCAGGTAGTTCCCCTGTTCACCGGCTCTGCACATCACCTCGCTGCTAATTACCGAAAACTTATACTTTTCTTTGCAGTGTTAATTAATTCTCGGGATTTGCTCGTTGATCGAGTGCGTTTTTCGCCATCCTGGGCGTTCATGAATTGTGTGTGTGTGGATTCTCCTATTTTGTATTCCCTTAGTCTGTAGCCGTCTATTTTGTATTCATCTATTTTGTACGTTATCCATTTGGTATTCACTATTTGTGACTGCAGCATCGAGCAGTTAGCTCTTGGACCCCACCTTTCCTGCCGTCGGTTGTTTATTGTACCTATTATACCTATTTACCTATTTACACACACACACACACACACACACACACACACACACACACACATAAACACAGAAGAACTAAGAGGCATGAGTTACGAAGAAAGGCTGAGGGAAATACACCTCATGACACTAGAAGACAGAAGAGTAAGGGGAGACATGATCACTACCTACAAAATTTTCTTAGGAATTGACAGCGCAGATAAAGATAAACTGTTTAACACGGGTGGTACGCGAACAAGGGGACACAGGTGGAAACTGAGTACCTAAATGAGCCACAGGGAGGTTAGAAAAACTTTTTAAGTGTCAGAGTAGTTAGCAGAT